GTAGAAATTCCCAAGACGTCTTCATATGGGCAAAATCTCACGCAGTTTACATTGCGAGCAGTTCTATGTCGCAAATATGGCTTGAAATCGCCAGAAGTTTCCCTGATACAAAAATAAGTATGTATGAATAAAAATTCCTCCAATATTGTATCAAATTTATTTTATCAGCAAATTACCTATAAACTTCAACTACATTGCCCATTCCAAGTGCAAGCAAACCACGCTGACTGTAAGACATACGATGAGCGGGTGAACGAAGGTGCAAGTGGCTCACCGGCCCTGTTAATTGCCTGACATCCCATATCTTCACAGATTTATCTATAGAACTGGTTGCCATGTAAGTCCCATATGGATGAACGGTACACGTCATAATTGATTGGTGATGGCAAAGCATTTTCGCCAATGGTTTATGAGAGTTTGGAGACCACATAGATACTATTCCTTTCGAGTCGCCCACACATAACACTGCGTTACTTGGATTCTGGGTCATCACCTATAATAATAAATTAAATGGTTGTTGGTAAGCATCTGAGATACAACAATCAAAATCTTCGATCAACGTAATCTTTAACAAAACTCACAGATATTCTACCCAAATTGGAGTTATAACGAGCAACCTGCTTGCCTATAGATATATCCAACCAAGCCATGTGACCATCCTTTGATCCGCTGGCAAGCAAAAAGTGATATGGCAAAAACTCCAATCTCGTCACACCGTTCATTCTTTTCAGGCAATGTAACTCTATTCCCTGATTGTCGTATACATAAACCCAATCCTTCTGCGCTACCGCAAACATGGTCTCCAGATGCAGCCACGTAACATCATGCACAGACTCCATCACATTTATTTCACAGGCCAGCTTCTTCGTCACCCAGTCAAAAGCTGCCACGTGACCTTGTTTCCCACCTAAGAGCAAGTGTCTACCATTTCTGGTATATCTAAAGCAGTACGGACCAAACTGCAGATCCAGTTTGAAACGTTTAGCCGCACTTGTTATATCCACATTCTCCACTATTTGCTTCTGTCGATACTCAGTAGTGACTTCTCCAGGTTCTGCTTCCATATAGCCATGCTCTTCCGTCAATAGTAACTCCGTCCGAGCAGAAGCTTCCACCTGTTCTTCTATAGCTCGCTCTTTCTGTTTTAGTTTCTCTCTCAGAACTTTATTTTTTATCGCACTTGTCTTTCGTCTTAACTCAAGTCCTGGACCTTTAGAATATTTCGCTAGTACTGTTTTATTAATTGGCACCTTTCCAGAATGCCTGTTCTTTTTCTTACCAACTGGTGTCTTTTCATGGTATCTCTCTCTTTTGCCCACTAGAAAAACATAAACATAATTTTGAATAATTGAATAATTTTGTAATGCAAGATTTTAAATTACATTTTTCAGACTTAGAAGTTATTTAAAACAAAAATAATTATTTTTTTCTAATTTTAAATTACATTTTTAGAAATTTATTGCATTTATATTTTTTCTGTACACGTGAGTTAACCTAACCATAATATAATCTATATGTATATCATTGATCATGTCAGTGAGAAAGAAAAACAAAAATCCAACAACAAAAATGATTATACTGCTCATACCTGGTGGGTTCATTGTGATTTTTATTGTAATCACGTATTAATCATTAACTTTTGTACTGATCTTGGCTGATCTTTCAACAATACGTATGTACATATGCTTCGAAGACGAAGCCAAATTGGTATTTACCACGAGGGCGTTAGTGTACAGTGACATGGAATTCCTTAAGTCCAATTTTCATGAGATTTCCAAAAAGTTTTGCAAAGTTATAACAATTCTTTTTTAAAACGTCAATCAGCATGATTGACAAAATCGACGAAATTGATAGATCTATTTTTTTTTGCTGAACTGGCTGCACTAGTTCAGAATTTATCTTTTTCCTTTTAATGTGTAGAGTAAAAAAAATAAATTCTGAACTATAAGCGTATATAGCCAGTTCAACAAATAGAGAACAGACCCATAATTGCGATAATTTATATAATTATAAAATTCTGCAAAAAAAAAAGTTACTTAAATGTTACAACGACACTTTTAAGACGCCTAATTTCCAGAAATAGAATAATATCATGAACAATTGAACTTTAAACTTAGGAAAAAATTTGAAGAGTTTGTTTAGGGGTTTTATATATAAAATACTCGTTAGAGGAGCAAATCTTTCTCTAATTGATCTGGCAACCCTGTTCGAGGCATTCGTCATAGGTCGATCGTGATTGGAGCATGCGCTGGCACACTCCCGTTCAGCCATTCCGGTTCCCCCCTCTCGCGGTCCGCGCGGGGGTGATTGTCATTCATGATTAGTCGTCAGCGTTTCTGACCCGCGGCGAGCATTTGTCCGGCGTTCCCCCCAAGTTTCCGCGTATGGTGTCGAATTATACGCGTACCGCGTCGAGAACGGCTAGGCGTTCAGCCGTGAAGTTACGCGCGTCTTTCCCTGGCCGCTCGCGCAGCACTCGGCTCCGTTCGGATTGATCGATCGCGGAGTGAAGTTGGCCGCACGCGGACGACGGAGAGGACCCATTTGGCGCTTTTTTTTTCTCACGGACGCACGATGTCACCCGTCCCGTCTCTCTCCTGATACCCAGCAGCCCAGCCGTCACGATGGAATGTCCACCGTTCTAACGGACGGTAGGTAGAGTCGGGCGAACTTTTAACGATAGAGAAGAGAGGGGAGATAGGAGAGGAAAAAAAAGGGAAAAAGTGTGTTAGCGCGCGCGGCAGTGTCCGATGACTCCGATGGTGTCCGAGAAACCGCGTGACAATCGATCGCGGTGATTTTGACGTCGAGTTGCCCGGTGCCGCGAGCCCGATTCGAGATCCGCGCGATCGCGATCGTTTTCCCGGAAGGTGGAAAAGAGACTGAAAGGGGGGGGGACGAGTGAAAGAAGAAAAAAAAGAGAACGAAACGCTTGGATGTGGCTTGGATGTAACGCGAGCTGCTCCTTCGTGGCGGACATGTCCGACGTAATGGCGTCACGACTGTCTTTTTCGACCGGAGATAAATGCATTCCGCTTCCCTGACTGCCGCAATTGGCCGCAACGGCGGATTCCGGCGACGCCTCTCCTTTACCGTTTCCCCGTTCTCGGGATTTCGCGTGATCTCGCTTTGTTAGACGCCGCCGCGCTATCCTTGACGTTTTTGGACGGAATATCCACGGATATTCGTCAATTCGAGTCTGATATTTTCCAATAAGGTTCAGTATATTTCTCACACACTGGAAAAAAGTTGATACATTTGTACTCTAGTTCTAAAGTTTGCTTTCAACTGTACGGATATGCGACGAGTGGACGGTCTAAATCTCGTCGCAGATAATCTCTTAACCGACTTACTTAATAGGTTAATTGGATGTAACCGAGGATCGTTAAATTTCCAATTTGACGATCTTACAACGCGACACACCTGCATTACGGAATTCCTTCGAATATCCTAGCGAGATAGAACAAATTGATTTGCCTAATGGAAGCTATTTGCGTCGCGTTATTGCAATTTCAAGAGATAGAGCTTATGCTCTCGTAATTTGTATGTCAAGTTTGATATTATTTGCGCTATGTGTTTCCGTTTCAGATGGCTGCCTTCTAATACCGATTGCGTCAGTAGTATTCGGTCAGCGGCGCGATTCATCAGCATCATAACATTGATGAATAGAAGATTTCGCGTAAAGGCTTCTTCTACGTTTTAACGTCCAACTGCGAACTAGCGGTGGAAATGGCAGATGAGTGCAGCGAGGTCAAGTCGGCAGGACCGTCCTCGCCAAGGAGTCCTCAGGGCAGCAGCAACGGTGGGAAGCCGAGTAGCCCGCACTCGCCTAGGCAACCAAGGCGCGTGAAGCTAACTCAGCAACAATTGGACAGCTTGACAAAGGACGAGCTGGCGGCCAAATGGCACGAACAGGACTTGTATGTGGAGTGTCTAGAAGCCCAGGCGGCAGCTCAGGAAGGTACTGAGATCACACGAGTGAGACCACCTCACTCACCACATATCTTAATCGAATTAACGAATGCCAGAACACAACGGTCTTTTGTAAGAGACAAGACTCTCGTAGAGACGCTAAGCATAGGGTTCATTAGATCAGTGTTCAGGATACTATTATTAAGTTGTCTATTAGATTTAAGGTAGCGAGAGAGAGAGAGAGCTTTAGTAAATAAGTACTCCAGGTATAATTGTAGGAAACTACTTCTTTATCGCTCTATAAGAGAGCTTAGTTCACGTGCGATCAGATTATCTTAATGTATCTGCACAAAAAAGTACTAGAGAGATTAAATATGGAATTGAGATACAATGTTGCGCTTCATATATACGATATAGTGATTATATTAATATATTAATTTCCAAAACTACATTTGTGATGTGTATAGTGCGGGTAATTAAAGATTCATATGTATCGTGACATAAAGCGATATATCTCAAGGTATTTGTGAGCACGGGTGGAGTGACAGCCACATATATGACGTACAAAAAAGGAATACGTTTAGTCCAAATTCTCTTGTGAGCAATTACATTATCAGCCATAAAGAGCATGGTTAGCGAGTAATAGTGAAAATGGCTGAGGTAACAAGTGCTTATGTGTGTCAACAAGCAAAGATTTCTCTGCCAAAAATGTGTCTGCCATGCATCGATGTTGTGAAAGGCACAGCCTTGCTCAGAATGTCATTTTTTCACAAGTGCCCTGTGCAGTGTATCGCGTATATCTCTGCGGTGTAAATAATTTATACTGCCAAATGCAGGAGAGTGTGTGCCGTGCGTGATAAATTCGAAATACCGAGTTTCTAGTTAACGGAGGATGAGATGAAAAGCAGCGTTTGATATGATGGCGCTGAATTTATGGCTCAGAGGAATAATAAGAGTGGATCCGTGTCACCGTTTGGCCTACAAATTACTGCACCTGGGGTGCGTGAAATTTAAATCTCGGTGAAGTACGCAACCACATTCGTCGTTACCAATTGGAACGCTACATGACCCAATCCCATCATCTGTCCTCTCCCTTCTCGTCTGGTCTACGTATCCTTACATATATTATCTTGTCCTCGAACTGTTCTTCCAATTAGAGATAATGCAATTTTTAATTAACTGTATTCCTAGACCAATTATCCTACTACATATTCTTACTACGAATGCAACTTGTGCATGCATTTATACCTGCACCATAATATCCTGGTATCAGATATGAATTTCAAAAGTACATACCTGTGGGTTAACCCGGCCAGCGTCTCGTTACAACATCTGTGCCTGCAACAAGTACACGCTTGATTCTTGCGGAAGAAAAATAACGTCCACTCTTGGTCTTGGTCGAAGTACAGAGAGTCTCACAAATGGCACGTCGCAACGACACCAAAAATCAAAGTATGCGCCAATTAACAATGTCAGTTGTCAGGCAGTCATAGTCACGTACTTACAAAAGTATATTGTTTATTTATGCGCACTTAGGTTAAAATTATAAATAGTAATTTTTCACCAGTATACTTGATTCCATCAAAAACTCTGTTGATATATTATATATACAAATTATACAGAATGTTTTATACAATTACAGTCCGAGGTTTCAAATATTTAATACGATTCATAAATTTTTATTCTTAATTTATTTATAAAATAAATTAGAAAACAGAAAATATAGAAAAAGTTATTTATAATTATAGAAAGAAAATTCTTGAATATATTGTTATAAAAATTTTACAGTAGAATAAAGTATATATGCTAACATTTCTTCCAAATAATAAGTTTTATTCATTAATTAGCTTTGAAAAACTAAAAATGCAACGGAACAAACTTTTATATTTTTGTTGAAATCAATATATATGCAGAGAAATATGATATACAGAAATTATGTTATTCTTTTCTAATCTTTTAATACACTTCATAAAAATAATTCTAAATCCTTGCATATAAATATTGCTCACTTAAATCAGAAATCACATAGGTACTGGACTTTTATATTTGCATTTTTAATCTATATGTTCAAATATTAAAAGATAAAATTTATATAAAACATCTTTTAAATTTTGAAAAAAGAAAATATAATTCAATTGCTTGTTAGATATTGAAGAAACAAAACCAACTTGCAGGCTTAAAATAGTTCAAAAACTGATATGCGCGCGCGCGTATGTGTGTATGTATTACATCTCCCATGAAATACATATTCCATAATTTCGCTGTAATTATTTTAACATATGGCGAATAACTTTGCTATTTTACAAGAAATATTTTTCTTGTAAGATATAAATATATACATATATCACAAATATATATATATATATATATATATATATGTAATTACTATTGCAATTTTAAGAAACACAGATACCATTGAATGTTGAAGTTCTAGAAGTAGAAAAATTTATAGACTATTCCTTTATAGGTGAACTAACTTCATTGAGAGAATCCGAAAACAAATACAGACAACAATATATAGAAGCATCTCACAGGGAGAAGATCTTAGTAAGGAGGCTTGCCTCTAAAGAACAGGAATTGCAAGAGTATATTGTATGTAACTATTCTCAGATACATCGAAATTCTAGTACAATTTATCTCGTAAGATTTATTTCTAAACGACTCTATAAAAAAAAGGCTTATTTTTTTCATTATTAGAATCAAATAACTGAAATGAAAGCCACCCAAGCTCCGTCCGCAGCTGCATTAAGGTCCGCTCTATTAGATCCAGCTGTTAATATATTGATACAGAAATTAAGGCAAGAGTTAATAACGACCAAGGGCAAATTGGAGGATACACAGAATGAACTAAGCGCGTGGAAGTTTACCCCGGATAGGTGATAAAAGCTTTATACGTTAAACAAGAAACTGCACGACACAAATTTTTACTAATTAAATATTTTATTTACAGTAATACGGGGAAAAGGTTAATGGCAAAATGTAGATTGTTATATCAGGAAAATGAAGAACTTGGTCGTATGATTGCCAGTGGACGTATTGCTAAATTGGAAGGCGAGCTTGCTCTGCAAAAGAGTTTCAGTGAAGAAGTGAAAAAGTCACAATCAGGTATCTTATTAGACATTCACTGATTTACAATTGTTATAATTATTATAATTGAAATCTACGATCGAAACATTTCAAATATAACTCATACATTTTCTTTTGATTTGTCTTTTGCAGAATTAGACGAGTTTCTGCAAGATTTAGATGAAGACGTGGAGGGTATGCAGAGCACCATTTACTTTTTACAACAAGAACTACGCAAGGCTCGAGAGTCGGTCACGCTACTGCAACAGGAGAATTCAGCATTGAAGGCGAATACAAACGACAATAATTTATCCAACGGTTTGTCGCCCCATACGCCACCGATTAAGAAAGAGGAACCGGAAGAAACCGCTGTACCAGATACGAAAGTTCCAAAACCGATGGAGGACAGTGATATGTGCAAAGGTGTAAGGACTCCACCGTTAACGTCGCCCCAGAGTGAGCTTACCAGTGTCGAAAGAACAGAACGTGCAGAGAGAAAACTTAATCAAGCCGATCATAATGACGAGAGTTCTAGCGACTCCGCGGCGTTAATTATTAAGGTTGAAAACGAGGAACTTAGTGATAGGGAGGAGGAGCAGGAGGAGAATCGGAACAAGCGATTGTTAAGGAGTAAAAATCACAGTAGGAATAGTGGTAAATCGAACGGGGAGGAGGTGATAACGCGAACAACGCGGGGTAGGGACAGGACAAAGAGGGAGAAAAGTGCAGCCAGTAGTGATGATGAAAGGACGCACAAGAAGAAACGGAGGGAGAGTATTCTTTCTCTCGATTATAACGAGGCCGATGACGACGCGTTAGTTTTAACCAATGGCGAGACTCTGCAGAGTGATCCGGAATGAACGATTATTTTAGGTTGACTTTGGACGACACTAATAACCACACGTGATTGAAATTCGCGATATATTTGATTTGACATCCCCGTTACTATTGTGTATAAAATTTTTCATCTAAAGCAACGCCGGTTATTTACAAGATGAATTGGTCGAATAAATAAATAATTAGCCATAAAGAAACGTAATTCAGTACCTGTATTCGTGATAAACTGCAAAGGATGAATATTCGCATTGGTCTAAAAAAAAAAAAAATAATAAGCCTGTAAATACTCTTATACCATTAGATTGATATATAAAGTTCACGTTTACGTCGAGTTACTTGCAAATGACCAAGTTGCGTATTACATTGCAAAGATATATCAGACGAGAAATCTGAATAGGTTTAATATAATTTATTACAGCCAAACGCGCTGTAAGGAAAACCAGAACAATCGAGTTTTGTTTGTATTTTGTAAATTTATTGTATTAAAACTCTATACAAAAACCAGCACAGGCTTTAGTTAATCAGTAAAAGGAACGGATGATTCGAAAGATATTGTCAAGAATAAAAAATAAACGCCTGATTAATATTAGATAAATAAATTATAATGCTTTCAGAAAAAGAAAAAGAAATGCAGTGTGAGATTTTCGCATGATTCTGTACGTAACGGTCCGATGTGTACATATGTATTCCTGTGCAATGTGAGACATGTATCGATCCCACTGTACAATGTGCGTTTTGCTTTTATTGAACAATTGGAAACCATACATAAAGCAAATGACATAAAATACACAACGTTAGTCTTAGCGATGCAAATGGATTGATCTCACAGACTGATACATTAAACTTACATTTTTAATTTTCTCTAAACTAAACTAAACTTGTATAGCGTTTGATATATTTTATATTATCTGTATATGCAGATTTGTTTCGTATCGCGTCCCTCGGAAAGATTTGCGCTTTCAATTTCGTTCGCGGTCTACGTTGTGAGGAAAAAAATAGAGGATATCGAAAGTTGCATCGAAAAGAATGTTACGAGATATATATATACGCATGAGATACGTTCCATCCCCAAATTTTCCATACAGTGCCATTATTATTCTTGTCTAGATATCGATGCTACAATAACTTTTGAATTACGAGCGACGCCGCGACGTAAAGTAAAGCCTTTTCTTACGCACATTTTGCAATCGAAGCGTATGGTGTCTTCTTTTCTTTAAATAATTTAAGGGCGATTGAAAGCAACTTGTATTTCGATGAGAGTCCAATGAAATTTTTACACGTCCGCCTTTTCGCTTACGCGATGTAGAACGTTCGCTAATTTACACACTCACCGCTGAAGTATGCTAACATGAATTGTGAATCTTCAACTGCAAGACATGATCATTAAAGGATTCCTTATTCAGACTGAAGATGTTAATTTCCTTCCATTCCATACTTGGCATTTAATATAATATATGATTGCGTGGCAAAGAAGCGCTGCATCGAAGAAATAGAGAAGAAAATTTAACAATTTCAAGGACAATCTTTAATCAACAGGGTTGAAAGGTAAATAAATTCAATATCAAATTTAATATAGTATATATTTAAAAGTTCAATTTGAAAAACGAGGAGATATTGCCGCCGGCGATACTCGATCGATCGATTTGGAATTGGAACACACCGATGGGCAAACTTCAGGTTTCCGTCCGGGAACGGCACTTCGGCGCAAAAACCGTCTATAATCCTATATACGCAAATTTCCATTCGCGACGTCGGTATCGCAGCGAACTCGGCGTCCTCGGTGAACAGTTTGAGCAGGCTCGCGTGTGAATCGCTGGCGTTTCGCAACGGGTGGTGGTGGTGTAGAACTGTGTAGATTGCATATGTGTGTAGAACCGTAAGCACGGAACCACGGGCAACCGCAAGTAGAAAACTTGGACAAATCCTTGGGAAAGGTAGAATCGCAGCTACCCGAAGAACAGACAGTTCACCCCTCGCCTCGATCATGCTCGCAGCAAGGCGCGCTTTAATCTCCAGCACGATGTAAGCGTAAAACGATAGCCGCCTCGGCGAATCCGCTCTGCTGTTTTCGCATTATGTAATTTCTAACCTGGCACGCGACCACTCGACATATTTATAATTATATTTTCGGGATATATCTATAGCTACAATTACCGTGCTCTTGCTCGGAATCGTTTGATGAGCCGACGTTAATAATTTATGTAAAATCATCATGTAAAAAATGTGTCAGTACTTTTGTTGTGCTTTTCGTATACCAACGCAAAACTGACGCAACAGCTGATCCGCGAATTGTCAAAGGAAATGAACTATTTTTGTTTTTTATTTTAGAACTTTTGCCTCGGGATTTTTTTTATTAGAAATACAGTTTTATTTTTCCAAAATTTGCAAACAAATAATTTAATTGCCAGAACGTTATTTCGCGAGATATATATTTTTACTGTTTTTTTTTTCTAAAGAGTACTTCCAAACGGTAGAGTTATCTCGTACACCTTTACATTTAGATTGTTTTTTTTTTTGCTACCTTTATGTTAAGGTGCCAATTCATGAGACGCTGAAAATGAGCGTCAACAAGGTGAACATGGTAGTTTCGCTTGGACGCTAGCGTCAAAGAAATGAAGTTGAATTTGTTTAATATTCAGCGTTGACGCTGAATCGTCGTTAATCGTCCCAGTACAATCAAACATAGATTCGAAATACGTAAAATATTAATTATTTTCAAGTAATATCTTCAAGTAATAATATTTTATGGATATATATATAAATAAAAGATATTATTTCTGAAGATTTTTATTTGCTAAAAGTGAGCGTCGAGCGTTAACGTGAAAAGGCACCTTTATATTATTCCTCATAATCGATTATCTAGTTTTTAGAAATAAAAATCGTTTTCTGTAAACTTATATAGCGGTAATCAAAATTATACCGCCTAATTATAATTATAAATATTATATTGCGGTTTAATTAAAATTATATCACTTTAATGTCTATAAATAAAGGAAATCGCAGAAAAATTATACACATTAGCTTTTAAACAGAAAACAGAACTTTTCAAATTGGAAACAACGGGGCAAATGTTTTTATTTTACTCATATGTATTATATTTTATATATTAATTATATTAGTTTACTTATTAGTTTTTTTACTTTATAATACACACAATAATTTAATCTATAAATGTTTTCTTTTCGGTGACTGATGCAGCAAGGATGTCTTCGCGAGGTCGAAGCATTCACTTCCGGATCTGCCGTACGACTACAAGGCTCTGGAACCGATTATATCCAGCGAGATCATGGAGCTTCATCATTCCAAGCATCATGCTACCTACGTTAACAATTTGAACGTAGCCGAGGAAAAAATGCGGGAGGCAGTCGCAAAAGGCGACGTCAATACACAAATCGCCCTGGGCCCAGCTATCAAGTTCAACGGCGGTGGTCATCTTAATCATTCGATTTTCTGGTGCAACCTCTCGCCCAATGGTAGCAATCCGGATGGTAATATCGAGAAACAAGTGGATTAAACTCTCTCTCACATAATTGATTAGACTCTCCAGTTCATAAAAGGATTATCTGCATAATATTCAAGTCAATTTAAAACAATTAAAAAATGATTCTTATAAAACTTTATGTTTACAAAGTTTGGATAAGAGTGCACGATGAAGATTGGGATTTTATTAAGACTCAGTCAGTGTTTAACGACAATGTTACTTGATCTTATTCTCATTAATTGTATCTCACAAGCTTCACAAGGTATATATAATCACCATCAATGTCTACCACACGTGGTCTAATTAACCTGGATTCCAAAATTTTCAAACTTATATAAGCTACGAAGTTAAAATAAAAAAACAAACACAAAAGCACTTGACAAATAAGAAAGACATTAGGAGAAATTAAAGAATTTTATATTTCTTGAGATTAAGAGAAGAGAAAGAGATCATCAATAAATGTAAATAATTTTTAATAAATATATGTAGATCTTCCTGTGGTAAAAAATCTATACATATATGTGAAAAACAATTAGATATAAAAATACTTTTCAATTCACGTAACGTCAATCATAAGATAATAATTGTAGTTCATATATTATAATTGTAATTTGCGCAGATGGATAATATAATATATACGTTTTTTTTTCTTAGCTGCCCTTGCGCAGCAAATCAGCAAAGACTTCGGCAGTTTAGAGGAAATGAAGAAACGCTTGTCCGAGATGACCGTGGCGATTCAGGGCTCCGGCTGGGGTTGGCTCGGTTACGATCAGAAAGCCAAGTCGCTGAGGCTAGCGACCTGTGCGAATCAAGATCCCCTGCAAGCCACGACCGGTCTCGTTCCTCTCTTCGGCATCGACGTGTGGGAACACGCCTATTACTTGCAATATAAGAACGTGCGACCCGTTTACGTGCAAGCAATCTTCGACATCATTAACTGGCAGGATATAAACGCACGCTTCAAAAGCGCCACTAGTTGTTAAGGGGGTTAAGTCTGTTTAGCATTTAAGTCTGTTTTTCAGATATTGAAATGTCGCTTAGAGTGACGCTTTTACTAGGACCAATAGATATCATCGGGAACTTTTGACGCACTTAATTCGCCTGTGATTTCATATGCTTTTCTTTTTCTACGCTGTATCCGAAGTGACTACAATCGAATGACGAGTAAAATGTAAAAAGTACAAGAATGTAAAGGTACACTTATTTAGAACCTTATCCTTAACATAAAACGAAAGTCTGTTTTTATCTTACAATTAATAGTGATAAATAAAAGAGACATGCAGCTCCAAAACTATCGATTTGTACGATTTGGTGGGTTTGACGTCTATATATTCCTTACCAGAGAAGGCAATAGGAAACCATTATTACTTTTCGATCACTATACAAAGAAACCTAAAACAAATAGGCCTCTAGTTTCAGGCAGCCTTTTGGTGGACAAGTCATAGAACAGAAGTCTGTCCGGAATAATCGCCAACGTCAGAAGGACTTGATTAGCACACTGAAGAAAAATCAATAATGCGTAATCATTTCTTTCCACTCGCACATGATTCTTTTTAAAACATATACATTTTTAAAATAATATTGTTAACTTTACGCTTCTTTTAAACTGTAACACTACAATCAGAATCTATAAGCGTTATTGATAAGAGTTGACATGTGTAAGAATTGCAAGAATTTATCTTTTACTTTTATTTGACAGGAAACTGAGCGAAAAGTATACATGTGGAAATAAATGAAAGATATTGAACATTTTTCCTTTCCAAATGGATTAGACCCGAAGACTTATACGAAACAATCATTATCAGATTAAGCTATGAAAAAATATGTTGGTATTCAATAATTTATTGCATATATACAAGATTGATTAATAACAAGATAAATAATTAAATATAATGCGCGTGAAAGACAGAGATTCAAAAGATAAGGTGTCAGCAAGACTGCAACTATGCCACTTACATGAAATTAAAAATATAGTATTTATAACATAATAAAATGGACAGAATAAAAGTAAGACGTAAGATAGATAGACATATTTTATTATTGGAGCAAATTATTCTTTTGCAAATCAAAAGGCATTTCATTGTTTACTGTTTACATTACGTAAATCAAGAAATAAAAAATTCCTTTAATCAATGGAGTAATAAATTCTTTAATCAATTTTTTATTTTTATCGCGCGTTCCAGATTTCCGGATACAAGTGCAATACAACAATTCCCACAAAGACAGCAATGTGTTTCGAAGATCGAACGGATCGTGGGAGAGACGGGGCCGTCTGTCTAGGAGTGACACTTGCCGCGTTCCAATAAATCACTTGACCGCGGTGAAAAACAAGGTTATGTTTGGGGAATCGCCAGGCTATGATTCATCTGGCTTTCCAGGAAGCGAAACGGAGCGAACAAAAACGCGTTATCTGCGCGTGTGCGCGAGAGCGAGATCGTGATCTTTATCCTCTCGTCACGAAGAGCGAGCGGGCTCGGGACTCTCGGGAGGCGAGAACGCGCAGGTCCTCCGCGGTCGTCGCGAGTTGAAGCTTAGGCGCACGCGAACGAGCACACTGGAGCACACGGAACCCGTTCGCAGCAACGTTCGTCGCGGACGACGCGAAGAGCGACGTGGGGCCGTGAGGCGTCAGGCGAGAGGGCAGGCGTTCACGGGCCGGAGCTTCGAGCGCGCGCGAGACTACGATAATCGATCGCGGGCGTCGGATAAGTCGGACAAACCGAGTGGCGTCGCGACGCACGGCACAGTGCACACAGCGTGCTCACGCTCGGCGCTCTCGCCGCTTCCGCGGAACGTATCGTCGTCGTCGTCGTCGGTGCTCGGAGCCAGTATGGCCGTAGGACCTCAGCTGTTTTCACGTCACTGCCTTCTTCGTATCTGGTGAGTCGCCTCGACACCGGAGCTCTCTTCTCTCTTTATTTCTTTTTCTTTTGTCTCGTTCGCGTCTACCACTCGCGCCAACTTCTCGCCTCCCTCTCCCTCCCCCTCCCCCCCTCTCTCTCTGTCTTTCTCTCTCTCGTCGCGCGCGCGAAAACGAGCGTGCGTGCATGCGTGCGTGCGTGCGTTGGCGATCGCGCGGCTTTACGAGCGTCGCGCGAACGGCCTCGTAAGTGCAACATCGTGCGGCCGCGACGGACGATCATTTATTTAAACGGCCGACCCCGACGTCGTTATCGATAGGTGTGCACAAAGGCACAAAGGCGTCTCGAGTGTGTCTCTCGAGTTCGGGGGGCAAACGTCGGAGACAAATCCGCGTGAATCTCGAGACTGTACGAAAGATTTTTGTTTCTTAATTTGAAAATGAAGCGTGTCGCGCGGCTTGTCTTACTCGATCATCGAGGTCTCCGTCATGTCCGATCGAACAAATTCGTGCGAATTAAAATTCTCGGTAGTCGGAGGCGCGTGAAACTGGAGGGGAATTTTCGCGAAACGTCAAGCCGAACTACCGCGCGATCGAAATCGTCGCCCGAAATCGCGGTACCTATTTCGTATTTGTACCGATTATCTCGGGTCTCGCGTTAAGTTCACACTTGGTTGATCAGGAAAGCAAATTTCTCTTTGCCAGTAAGCCGTCACTTGCGACTTTGCGACTAAAAGCTAGTCGGAAGGTGGTCGATCAGCCTGCATGGGTTCTCGTGCACTTTCTCGAGTGTTGCCGAGCCACTCGCGTTGCATCAGGGGTTGAAACGTAAGGGTTGAAATACTTGAGATATATATCTCAACGAGAGAGATATTTAAATATATGACTCGGCGATAAATCTGTTATCTATTGACGCAGTTATATACTCGGGACGGATATTTATTTACGCTTCTTGTGCTTTATTCTTTAATTATTCGCATATCTGAGATATTTTGCGTGTCGACGTGGCGTGGTCGACAATCAAGATGGAATGAATGGAAAAGGAAGAGAATTAAAGGGCCGAGAAAGGGCCTTTATATTATTTTTATCGGATAATGCGAGAAGGAAAAAATGAAAGAAATAGTTTGACATTTACGAGAAATTGAAAAAACGAAGTTCTGGTTAATGTCATTGTATAGGATTTCTCATCAGTTTTATTCCCTCCCTACGTCCGCCATCTGACTGACTGCTTTTTATAAAATTATTGACGTTTTTGTCATTTATCTCGATGGATAAAGTCTTTCTATGTTAGAAGGAAATTCTAAAAAAAAATACATTTAACATTACATGTAATTATACATTAAAAACATGCAATTTATTGTTTGCAGGTTAGTAATATTAAGTTTTTTCTTATCTCTCCATATCTACACGTAGAAGATAATCTTGGAATAAAAATTCGGGGGCAACAACCATATGCGCTTCAGCGCATTTTTCATTAAATTCTCAATGGGTTCTGAATCAGACTTTCTGATTTAATGAATAGAATAATTGCGAAATTTCGAGGGGTAATCGATTAGTCACAGAGATTCGATTACATTTTAATTGTTTTTCCAGACCAGACGTTGGAAAATATCGAACAGCCGAGCGTTGAATGTGCGCACACTCGAATTACGATTCGTAATTTCTATGTTTGAAAATTGTCCTTTCTAGTTATTGTATAAAGATAAAGTCTTATCTTTTTTCAGGCCCTTTTCGTTAAGGGGGAAAACATGCTGATGGCGCAAATATTTATACTTTTTAACGATTTTTTTTACAATATATTCAATATATGTTCTTTAAAGAAATAAAAAACCAATTTTATTAAATTTATTATTTTACGCGGAAAAAAATTCACGAAAAATAGCATCTTTTTCCTTTGCCGTCACACAGTGGTTTCTCCCTTAAACTTGAAAAGTGCGTTTATTTCCAATTCAATCTATACGATTTAAAAAACTAAATGGCACTTTGACGTCTCTATCGAGATAGAAAATCTGAATTTTAAATGGGAAAAAAAAAAATCTGAACTTCAAATTCGTTTGAAAATCTCGTTGACATCAATTCGCGATCAATCTATCACGTCATTCTCGTCGTGCCTCGACCCGCCCGTCACAGATCGTCATAGAGAGAGAGAGAGAGAGTACCCCCCGGATTGACTGAAGCGAAATGGCATAGGGTATAACGATTTCACTCGTGGAACACAAGGGTGGGCGGTGCACGAAGGGGATTGAAGGGTTCGAAGGTTACGACGAGCCGTAGGTAACGTTTCGCCGACATAAACGAAGTGCGAGGACTTGCGAGGACTAGGGTAGGGTAGGTCAGTAGTGATCAACGTTTCGAATATCGTGACTGCTAATTTGTTGACCGATACTTCGATGAGATAATTTCTGAGCTCGCGTAACGGCGATGGGAACGTTCGCCGATTTGCTCTCCGAATAGCGCGATTCTCGCGAGTCTTTTTATTTATTTATTGCCGGTTTCAATTGAGCTTTCTAAACTGGGAAAAAATCGATGCTAAATTCCTTGAAATATAATTAATCAATAATTCAAGATAAACACTGTGAAGGTACATCAATGAAAGGAGAACGAATATGGAAACGACTATTCTGTCGTTTGGAAACGGAGGAGTAAAAATGTTTTATGTATATAATATCTCATATCTGTAATACGAAACTGACCTTTCTTCAACCATGAATTATTTATTAAATTTATTTATTAAATTTAGAAGCAAATTTTATTTATTAAATTCATGATTTTCTAAAATAAATAGTTAATAGTTCTAAATTAATAAAAATATCAATATAGAACAGAAATGTAAACAAACTTTGAACCATAAATCTTAAAAACATGAGTGAATAAATAGTAAAGGCACATTTTCGGTGTACATTTTAAATCGACTTTTAACGAAATATCGGGAAAAAGTTTTTTATAAGATTTTTATTTGACGCGCTATTAAAAATACAAAAGTTGCGAAAGTAAATAACATTCAATTATATGATCAAAAGCCAAGCTCACTTCGAATTAGATAAAACGACGCTTGCTAAAACTCTCATTGCTCCAATTTATAAACACCCTCTGCCATAAAATATTGGTCATTCGATTAACTCGCTTTAAACGGCTAAAAAATTTGTTCTCTTCGGGAATCGTTACATTATTACATATGTATAGATCGATGTGTGTAGAAATACACGTGTATATATGTATGTACACGCGGAGTTATTAACGCGAATTTATGCATGTATCGAAGCGTATAATATACATTTTCAACATTATGCTTCGATAAGCGGCTAAATTCACGTATTTAAGGTATTAAACGGTCCCGCGTGTATTGTACATACATAGATTGATACTTTTAGCTATAGGTGGGTCGAAACGAATCGATAAGAACTCATTTTGTAAAGTCGCACGCTCCAAGAAGAGCTCGTTATTTTATTCCATAAATAAATGTTATGCAATTAAAAAATTAGGTCTCTCGAATAAAGATCTTCGGATGTAGAGACGGGTAACGAAATTTCTGTTCTTTGTTCGCGAATTTTCGACGAATTCTGAGACCAAGAAACAGACACAATGTCCAATAAAAATTCTTTTCGATGAAAAATCCAAAGTTCAAGGAATATGTGGCGGAAGGAACGAAGTGGGAAAGCAGCTGACTCATTCGCGTACATATACGTATAATATATCTCCATCCATCCTCATTCAATACCATCGTTTTACGGGGGGAGGGGCAAGCGTGCCAACAAGGAGACGTTGACTCGCCTTGCTGAATCTTCTATATAATCCGAAATTTCGTTCTTGGAAACATCTTGAGGCGACGCGGCGACGCCGAGCGTCGGCGTCGCGTCCTGCTCGCACGCGCGGACGTGTTACATGTAAAGTAATCCCGAAGGAGGGGGGGGAGGGGGTGACGGCGCGTCGGCGTCGCCGCGCGCGAAAAGGGGATGATTTTTGTATGCTTAATCGACGTCGACGTCGAAGAAAGTGGGCATCGGGGGGGCCTTCTTGTTGAACGTGTGTGTGCGTGACTGTGTGTGTGTGTGTGTGTGGGGCACACGTTATAGTTGTGTGTACGCGCGCGCGGTACCGTCGGCGATGTCGTTCGTGGGTATCTTTACTTATTGATTGCTCCGTGAAAATTGGCCGGCGCCGCCTGCGTCGCATCGGTCGATCGTCGGGTTGCAGGCTGACGTCACCCGGTTTGCCCCCGCGAGCTATTGATTTTCTCCCTCTCCCCTTAGACGCGACGGCGATTGGTCCATAAACCGAGAAAGCGGCCAGACACGGCCCTGGACCACCACCGTGTTGTCGATCGACGCGCGCACCCCATCGTGGCCGTCGTTCCTCAGTGCGCGCGCGCGCGCGCACCTTGTACCCTATATATATTTATAAATATATATAAATGTTCGTATATGTATAGTTGATATATGCGTGTGAGGGTACACGTGCGAGCGCGCGCGCGCGCGTCACGTTGATTCCAATTCAACCACCACCCTCTGATGCTACGCCGCCTGAAAGGTCCGTAGAAAGGAATAAGAGCCCAAGTGTTGCGGGGACGCAATAACCCGTGCCCGAAACGCCCTGAAAGAACACGCAGGGATGACGTACAATTCGCGTTGACCCTTCGCACGGAGATGAACTGTCCAACTGACAGTCAATTAACGGGCTTCAGCGCGTCTCCCAGCACGACTCATCGCCCAGCCTTGATGGCCGTTGCGCACACATCGGCGAACCTACCACGCCATATAAACTTCCGTGCACGCGTGCGCGCACATACACGCGGGGCGGGAGGGTGACCTCCAAAGAATTCCTTCATTTCGCGAAATGAGATCTGCCGCGGGAATGCCGCGGGGTGACTTACGCGAGGACATGGTTGAAATTCACGGGTGAAGTGACATCGAAGGCCCGGCATACCTTCGAGCTTCATGTAACTTCGAGGCGAGATTGCCGGACGTGCATTCGAATTTCACATTACCTTCTCGTCCTCTAATCTCGTTTCTCCATACAATGT